CCACTGCCACCACTACCACCACTGCCACCACTACCACCACTGCCACCACTACCACCACTGCCACCACTGCCACCACTACCACCACTGCCACCACTGCCACCACTGCCACCACTGCCACCACTACCACCACTGCCACCACTGCCACCACTGCCACCACTGCCACTACTACCACCACTGCCACCACTGCCACCACTGCCACCACTGCCACCACTACCACCACTGCCACCACTGCCACCACTGCCACCACTACCACCACTGCCACCACTACCACCACTACCACCACTACCACCACTGCCACCACTACCACCACTGCCACCACTGCCACTACTGCCACCACCACCTTATAAGCCAAGTCTCTGAATTTCTTGGGTCATCTGTCCCAGGCTGTAAATGAGCGATTTAAGCCTGTATTCCAGGAGCAATTTGCTTAGTGGATGTCCATATTTTTCTTTTTTTATTTCCAACTCATTTTCTCAATATGTTCTGTTGGAAAAAGACTTATCCATATTCATAGATTTATACTATATTTTGAATATTTCAGCTGTTCATGTCTAGGTTTTCTATTTGCTCCAGGATGAGGCTTCTTTCTTTCTTTCTTTCTTTTCTTCTCTCTCTCTCTCTCTCTCTCTCTCTCTCTCTTTCTTTCTTTCTTTCTTTCTTGTTAATTAATGTATTTTGTACAGGATCTACAGGGTCTCACTACATAGATCAGACTCTTACTGATCCTTCTGTTTTCAGCCTCCCAAGTGCTGGATTACAGGCGTGCCACCATACCCAGTCTCAGTTGCCGTCTCAGGGCACCCTGGGGCAGGGCAGGCACAGCACACCGGGGATCAAACCCTAGTCCCTGTGTCTGCCTAAGCTTGCATTTTAGTCCACTGAGCCATCTGGCTAGCCCCAGGCTCAGTCCCCATCTCAGCGTGCCCCAGAGGGCGGGGCTGGCACAGCACATGGGGATCGGACCCCCGTCTCTGTATTTGCCTAAGCAGGTGCTTTAGTCCGCTGAGCCATCTGGCTGGTCCCAGGCTCATATTTTCCATGTACTATTCTTTCATAATATTTCTATAATGTTACTTTGCAGCAGTCTAATTGGCTAGAAAAAGGGTTATTTGCATGCCTATTTCTTCAGGTGAATTCTGTAATTTCTACCACCTTTAGTTTTATTTTTCAAAAGTGCAGAGGCTTTCTGTATTTGTGCCATGCCCAGGGATAAACAAAAGATTAGAAGGTAACATTGTAGAGGAGACCACGCTTGGGAGATGGGTGAGTCACAGAAGATGATCAGGGATGCCCAGCCCAGGCGCTGGCTCTGAGGCGGGGAGCGGACCCAGAGCCAGGGCCAGGAGTGCACAGCAGACCCCCATCCCGAGGCGTCGCACTTAGTGATGGTGACCGTCCTGACCTGGAATCCCAGTGCCACAACTCTCACTGGGGGCCAGGAAAGGGCCAGGAACGCAGGTGTTTCCGTGTTCTGCACGGTGCAGTGGCCCACATTCTAGGGCTGCTGTGCGTAGAACGTGCTTTTCATCCTCACGGGCAAGAAGTGTGAGTGAGCTGTGTAGCAAACGAGGGTTTCTGGGTCTCCTTTGGACGAGGTCGATTGTGCCGGCCCGCTTTCCCTTCGTCCAAGGAAGACACCCGACTGACACAGCTGGATGGGCACTGTGCGTGCTGGGTTTGAGGCCTCAGGGCATCCAGTCATGGCAGAGGGGCTGAGGGCAGGAATGCCACACTGGATGGTATGGTGGAGGAAAGGCGCTCAGCTCCTGTGGCTGGGCAGCAGATCCCAGGGGAAGTGTCAGAGAGACACAGCCCTCCAGAGGGTCCCTGCAGCGAGCCATCCCCCATCTGGGCCTGCCTCCCAAGCACACTCACTGTGATATCTCGGGTCTGTCAGCAGTGAGTGCACCCCCCACGGGTCACCCCATCAAGGGTACAGTCATGTGTAACAGCAGGCAAAGCCAGCATCCTTCTGGAAGTGCCTTCAGAGGAATTCAAGGGCCCTGAGACTTGTGGCTTCGGATTTGTGCACTGTAGACAATGGGAAAACCATCGTTGCTGCAGAAGGTCGGGCCCAGGTGCTCCTGGGCTTTGCCTCCAGCCCCAGAATGGTGGGCAGGCCTCAGGGGTTGAGCTGCAGCCCCTCAACGGAGTGTGCTGCCGCTGAGGATTACCAGAAATGTGACCTCACTTGCCAAATGGGCTGGTTCTGCCTCCTTTGAGAATCCTCCAGAGCTGAAGGTTTTTCCTTTTGTCCTGTAATTTTTTCTTACAGATTTGCTCCTTCTGACAGTGAGTCTATAAGGTTGGACGTAGGTGAGGTCACTCGTTGCCTTCCCCCAGAGGCACTGCCCGGCCCTCAGGATGACGGCTGCTGGCTGCTTACTGATTGCCCTGGCATACGAGTCAGTGTCCAGGTCTATTTATCTGCTCACTGAGATAAGACATCACCCTGGAACACGAAGGGCCAGTCTCCTCTTTCTACAGAAAAAGACCAAGTTCCACTGCTATGTGCTCACTTGGAGTTTTGCCGGGTCACAACCTCACTGCATTTGGGAGAAGAAACCTTCAGGTGCAATTCCTGGGAAGCGCCTCAGGAAGCTCTTGAGACACAAGAGGCTTCCTTTTTCATTTCTACTGGTTTAGTTTTGTGCATCAGTAGTTCAGGGCAGGTGGTCCGATCTGCAGGAAAGTGGAGGGGCAGGTAAGCTCTGAGTGGAGGAAAACCGAGCCCCAGGTAAGCGCTTCGCTTCTCCAGGACTCTGTGTGTATTGTTCATAAAAGAGGAAGCTGCACACAGGTAGCACACCTGTAATCACAGCTCTCTAGGAGGCGGAGGCAGGAGAATATAAATTTCAAGCCCAGCCTGGGCAATTATTAACTGTATCAAAATCAAAAATTTCAGGGGTTGGTGAGATGGCTCAGTGGACTAAAGCCCCTGCTTAGACGGGCTTAGGCAAGCGCAGGGACCATGGTTTGATCCCAGCACCACATGCTGTGCCAGCCCCACCCCCACGGCGGGCTGAGCCAGCCACCTAGTCTGGGCGTGCTGGCGTACACCTGTAACCCCAGCGCTAGGGAGGCTGAAAGCGGGAGGATTACCATGAGTCCAAACTGTGTAGGGAGACCCTGTAACAACCAAATACATTTTTAAAAAATTAAAAATTTTGAAAAGGGCTGGGGACACAGCTCAGAGCCAAGATCCTTAGTTTAATCACAAATACTCCCGGGCGCCCTCCAGCAGAGAAAGGTATGGGTAGAATGCCTGCTGCGAGAATTATCATGAGGTCACAAGATCAAAAGAGCTGGCTTCCAGGAGCCCTCCGTGGGGTCCTGTAGCATCCACAGGCAGCACACAGAGGACAGCCACACCTTTTATTCCCATCATGCTGTGCACAGCAGGGCAGCCTCGTTCAGAAGAACACAGTTTCTTTCTCCTTCCTGTTGAAGGGGTTGTAGGGTCTCACAGTTGTGACCATCCGGGACAGTGGTCCCTGGTGGCGGAAGATGTCAACAGCCATTTCTTTCTGTAAAGTGCTGAGACAGAATGGAAGAAGGAAGGGAAAAAGTGAGGAGCAGCATCCACTTGAAAACGCACAGCCTCAGCCGTTCTCCAGCTGTAGGCACACGTCAATGGGAGAGAGGGACAGAAAGGGAGGGAGAGAGAGAGAAGGGGAGGGGAGGGGAGGAGAGGAGAGGAGAGGAGAGAAGAGAAGAGAAGAGAAGAGGAGACAGAGAGAGAGACAGTGAGAGGAAAGAGAGAGAGACAGAGAGAGACAGAGAGAGACAGAGAGAGACAGAGAGAGACAGAGAGAGGAGATGGAGAGAGGGAGAGAGGAGAGAGAGAGAAAAGGGAGGAGAGAGACACAGAGAGAAAGACAGAGACAGAGAGCGAGGAGAGACAGAGAGAGACAGAGAAAGGGAGGGGGAGAGAGACAGAGAGAGGAGATGGAGAGAGGGAGAGAGGAGAGAGAGAGAGAAGAGGGAGGAGAGAGACACAGAGAGAAAGACAGAGACAGAGAGCGAGGAGAGACAGAGAAAGGGAGGGGGGAGAGAGACAGAGGAGACAGGGACAGAGGGAGAGAGGAGAAAGAGACAGAAAGAGAGACTGGGAGATAGAAACAGAGGGAGGAGACAGGGAGAGAGGGAGAGAGAAAGAGAGAGACAGAGGGACAGAGAGGGAGGGAAAGAGACACAGAGAGAGAGAGATAGAAACACACAGAGGAGACGGAGAAAGGGAGAGAGGATAGATAAGAGGAGAGGAGAGGAGAGACAGAGAGAGAGAGAGAGACAGAGACAGAAAGACAATGAGGAGAGGGAGAAAGAAAGAGAAAGAGAAACAGAGAGAGGAGGTCAGATGGAGCAGAGAACGCTGGCTGGGAACAGCTCATGCTGAGCACGGCCCCTGCGTTTGCCAAGCAGCTCTGTACCTAGAGCCACGCCACGCGGTAAGGAGGCAAGTGACTGGCTGTGCAGAAAGGCAGGAGGTGCAGCCCAGGGAGCCTGAGGGTGAGGGGGTCCAGAGGGTGCACTCCTGAGGGAGAGTCTGTGGCCCCAGTCCTCAGGGTCTCCGCCCTCCCTGGCTCTCAGTTTTCCTGCCTACACAGTAGAAATAAATCTGTCCTGCCGAATTTATTGTGATTAAAAGAAAGTGACCAGCTGGATGCGCGTATACACAGGCGAGGTTTTATCCCGTGGCCAGCTTCTGCCTGTCACACCCAGAGGTGGCAGTCCACACCTCCACGGGAGTTGGACAGGCCACCACTGCAGTCACGCACGGGTGCACAAACACGCACGCGGTGGCGCCCCTGTGTAGCCTCAGCTGGGGCGCCAGGGTGGGATGGCAGCCCCAGGCCCTGCAGCTCCTCGAGTACGGGCTTGGTTCTGGTCATGTGACGTATGATGACGTCAGAGGCCGGGCCAGGGACCGAACCTGACCTACCGCGGATGGAACCGGCGTGGGGGCGGCATCGCCGAGCTGCCCCGCCCTCCCCAGCGCAGCCCAGCTCCTCGCTCGCGTGTCTTCAGTCACCTCTTCCTGCGTCCCACACAACACGGGCCCTAAGGCTCTCGGGGCGGTGGCGTGGCTTCCCTCTGTGTGGCCAGTGAAATTCTAGGTAACGTACCACCCCCCAAGCCACCACTGCAGCCTTAGCGACCGCAAAGATCCAGGACCAACGCACCGCCACCCCTGGCCTCGTGGAGGGCATCGCCTGCTCCGGGAAGGCACAGCAGGGAGCCGGGATGAGCCTCAGGAACTAGGGGCCAGCAGGGGTAGCCAGGCACCGAGGGGCAAGCAGACAGGAGGAACAGAAAGGGTCGGGGCCCAGAGAGGAGGAGGAGGAGAAGCGCGAGGGTCAGACAGAGAGCGAGCCCCGGAAAGGCGCCGGTGGACAGAGGTCCCCAGCGGAAGGAGGGCTCGGGGACGGAAGCCGGCCGGCTGCCTCGGACAGCCCAGGGGGCAGGACCTGCTGCCCAGGGCGGCTGGAAGGGCCTGGAGGCCCAGGGGCACGGGACGGCCTGCAGATGACCGCGGGCGAGGCCAAGGCTCTACTACTTCAGGAGGTGACAGCAAGGTTGGAGAGCGCAAGAGTGACAGGAAAAGTCCGCCTGGACCAAGCAGACCAGCCCGGGAGGAAGCCCGCTCGCTGTGTCCTCAGGGTACTCAGCAGGCAGACTCCGGGGCTCAGGCTTTTGCTGAAAATTTTTACAGAACATTTTAAATATACTGTCCCAGAAAATCAGAGGGGCTCCTTGACAGGGTGAGCCTCTGGTCACCAGGGCCAGACTAATGTCCAGGGTCAGTCCCGCTGGGCACCGTCTGCTGGGTGAGCTGTCCCTGCCCCATCCCTGCTGCTTCTTCAGGCAGAGCACTGCGCCCATCCAGCATTCAGCCAGAGGTGACCTTGACCAGAAGAACCTGAGAAGGCACCTCGGGGCTCCTGACCTGTTCTGGAGTGATGGGTGGCAGTCACCGTGTGTCCTGTGCCTCCCAGGAACAACCATGTGTGTCCTGCAAAAGACTCAGGTTCCGCTTCCTGGTGCTGCCTGGAGGGGACAGCGTTCAGCTAGGAACAGAGGTAACTGAAAAATGAGGGGACTTCGGGCCATACCCGGGGTGTAGTTAGGTGACCCGGAGATGAGGCCCTGGGGTGGGATGGTGGGGTGCACCCAGAATTTTTACTGTGAGTGGATTTTAGCTTCTCCTACCATGGGGGAAGCGGAATGGGTGACTAGGAGAGAGGATTTGTTATATTGATTTCTCTCACTGTAGTATATATTTGTATCCCACGCTGAGACACACAACAAAATTCATCCTAGAAATCATACATGGAAATGTGGAGACCCCAAATCCCAAGTGTTTGCAGAGGCAGCCGAATGCAAACTATTAGTTCAGAGCACCAGCGATCCACTCTACCCTACTAATTGTAAGTACGAAAGGCAGCTGAGGGCTGGAAGCTGCACAGTCCTCAACCCAGAAATTTAGATTCGCTGTGTTAGGGTGCAGCCCTCTGTGTGGAGGAGCACTAGGGGGTCCTGGGGACTGATCGCTGGGCCTCTGCATGAGCTACACGGACAGCCACATGGACAGATGAGAGAGGGGTGATAGGCAGAGGACGATGATAGATAAATGACAGAAGATAGATGATAGATGATAGATAGATAGATAGATAGATAGATAGATAGATAGATAGATGCACAGAGAGCTAGAGAGCTACAGACTTACTGATTTTTGACATGGTCCACTTAAGTTACTAAATTGCCTAGACTGGGCTCACACTAGGTGTTTCTGGGTCTCAGCCCCCCAGAGCGCTGGGATTATAGGCACCCAGGTCACCATATCACCCTCACCATTCCTTTCCTTTAATCCCTGTCCTTCACACACGCGCGCGCACACACACACACACGCACACACACGCGTGCACACACACGCGCACACACACACACGCACACACACACACGCGCGCGCACACACACGCACACAGTAGCACTCAGAGGGTGAGTTCTGTGCGGAGAACGCCCTCCTGAGACCCGTCCCCGCACCTCAGCCCAGCCCCAGGGGTCTGATAGCCCACCCGCCACCCGCTCCCCGCCGCCTCCCCCAGGTCTCCTTCAGTGCCCTTCCTGGCCAGGCCATCTGGGTGCATGGGCTCAGTTCCCTCATCTGTCCAGTGGGACCGTGAGGAGCCCGCACTCGCAGACACGTGTCTGGGACATGAGCTCTGCCCTCTGTGCCTCGAGAGAGGCTCTGCCCTTCAGCCACTGTGGATATGGAGCAGGCCGTCGCCCTCCCCTGGCTCGGCTGCTCCTTGCTCGCCGCTGGAAGGCCCCAAGCTCCTTGCACACAGGCTTTGCTGCTGTGAAATCCTGCAGCTCGGGTGGCGCTTGCCACTTACTCAACAGACAGACAAATTCACCGCACAGTTGGAAAGAGAAGGAAGGAACAGACATCCAGATGAGCTGGGAGTCAGTGGCACACGCTTGTGATCTCAGCACTCGGGAGGCCGAGGCAGGAGGACCCCTGTGGGTTCGAGTCCATCCTGGACTGCACAGTGAGCTCAAGTCCAGCCTGAACTACAGAGTGAGACTGTCCCATAAAAACCAACCTTCCCTACAAATAAGAGGGCATTCCCCCCAAACGTTCCCTCCTCAGATAGGCCTGGCCTGCTGTCGTGAGACTCGGCAGCCCTCTCTGTGTCATCTGCTGTTACTTCCCCTGATATATGTCACCATCTGAAATTGCTTCCTTTCTTAGGGACTTCGTATGTCTCTACTTCCAGTCTGGAGCTGAGCTGCTGTGAGCTGGGGTCTTTGCTGCCTGACCCTGTAAATCCGGGCTCTTGAGGGCCCAGGCAGGCTGTGTGAAGCAGCCCTGTGGGGGAGGGAGCAAGGGTCCTCCTGCCCTCCCAGCCCCCTGTCCTCCCAAGGCTGCTCCTCTACGCAGGGCATGATTTTGCCTTCAGAGCCTCATCCTCTCTCCTGCAGCTGGGGCTTTCACCCAGAGCTTGCAGGTCTGGGTTAGGATGGGAAAGAGTGTGCTGCTCCCCACAGCTAGACTCAGATCCAAGCACCTTCCTGCCCTGCCATCAGTGTCTTCTATTCCAACTTGCGAAAGTGAAGTTTAAGATCGTTCATGACAGCCCAGGGCTTTTGTTATTGATACAACGTGCGGCGGCATTCAGAAGACTCAAACACACCTCACGTTGGTTCCTTCTGGGTCATCTTCCTGGTGGGAAGGGTGTGTGCGCTACACTCCAAATCCTACAGGCAAATACGCCATGCCCTACTGTGCGTCTGACGTGCGCCCTACTGTGTGCCAGATGTCTCACAATGGCCCTTTCAGCAACACCTACCCAGGCATTAATCTATATATTTTTAGTGCAACTTTAAATAAGGTTCCAAAAGAAAAGCATGCACAAAGCTTAATAAAATTCTCTTCCACAGGAAAACTAACTCTTCTTCTTTCTGGACCTGACTCTCCATTTACAAAGCAGTGTAAATTTGCTATGAGTATCTAATTGCTCTTTAACGCAATAAGCATCATTAGGGCCTCCCCTTCTGACACTTCGGAGCAAATTGAATAATGGGGTCCCTACTCACCGGTGCAGCTCTGAGTCTGGTGAGGGGGTTGTTGATGGAATATTCGAATTTGCTGGCTGGGTACCCGTGAAATGAACCTTGCCAGTATATCCTGGAATATTTGCAGCCCTGAAGGGAGGAGTTAAAGGAGGAGAATGAGGGGAAATGAGAATGATGACTTGGGAAATAGTCACGGCAACCAGAACCCAAACATGAAAAGTATAAAGGAGGACGCGGCCCTATGTTTTTGCCCTGCCCAGGGTCTGGAGCTTGGGATGTCCAAGCAAGAAAGCTTGTGTGTTCTGCGGTGCTGACACAGACGCTGGGGCAGCGGCTCTACTCCAGGGTCGAGAAGACATATTGCAAGTGCATGTTTTGCTATTATTTTAAATTTGCAAGTCTTTTACCTACACGGCTCGCTGCCCCGTATTACTAATCTCCGGTGATTTCCTAAGACCGCACACTGAGGCCCAACTGCAGCCCGCACGCTGGCTGCTTAGCTCTACCATGTGGGGAGCTCTGCTTTCCCATCCTTGGCCTTGCCAGAGAGGAGAGAAAGGGAGACAGGCGGACATGGGAGGACACATGAGCATGCACAGGAAAGTGCTCACTGGCCAGGCAAGCAGGCCTCCGACGGGCGGATTCGAGCAGCACTGCAGAAAGATGCGAGGAGTCCCTGCGTGTCTCCTGGGCTGGCGTCCCACGTGGCCACCCCAACTGTTTCCCAGGGGTGGGCAGAGGCCAGGGTGCAGCCAGACCCACTGCACCTGTGATGTGACACCTCCATTGCCCACAAGAGCAATGGCAAGGAGGTGGATTTCAAGGAGTGCAGGAAACGTTTTGCAGCCGGGGAGGCCCCGTGCCAGAATGCAGTCCCTCGGTGGAGCTGTAGCAGGCCTCCTGCCTCGACTTGCTCTCCTGGCCTTGTATAGAAACAAAGGTGGCACCAGGTTGAATGGGCTCTGGGTTCACAGCTTCCATGCAGCTCAGTGGCCTGCACCCCACTCCCCTGGCATCTTGGGGAGCCTAGAATCTCAGTAGTGGGTTTCTCAGCCAAAACTGACCCCAGATGTAATCTACCACAGCGACAAGGACCCAGACTCCATCACAGGTGGAGAAGGGAGTTCTCTGTGGAGATCTTGGTTAGATAGGTGTCCTTTCCACATATCTAGTAAGCCAGAAGAACCCCCTCCTGCAACCATTTATCTTTGACATAATTTTCAAGAAACTGAACTTACGAGAGGTTGCACCTCTTTTTGATTTGGATCTTGAAAATCACCCCCGAGCCCTGGCCAGTGGGCTCCCCGGGAAGTGGTAGAGATGTTAGGAGGTGAGGATTGCAAGGGAGAGGTTAAGGGGCATGGGATGGAAGGGGACACTGAGACCCTGGTCTCTTCCTTGTTCTCTTTCTGCTTTCTGGCCACTGGGATCTAAACAAACATCTTTGCCCACCTTCCACCAGGATGTGCTAAGGCATCGTGGGCCTAAAGCAGAGGGGCAAGTAGTGTGGACTAAGCCTCAGTGAACCGTGGACTTCTAGGAACCTTTCCTCTTTATAAGTTGATTCTTTTAGGCATTTTGTCACAGGGGTGGAAAGCTGCCAAACACACTCCGCTTAATGTGTCAAGTGATAGGCCCGAAGGAAGTGCTAGTCAGTGAAATGTGTTGGTACTCAAGGTCAGAAAACATCTGCAGAATGCATGACCTTCCACATCAGCTCTCCAAGGTGAACCTTATGGCTCCTGGAGCTTCACGTCTCAGCCGTGGCCCAGGGGAATGATACCAACCCAGGGGACCTGTCTGCGAGCAATGTGGAAAGCTGTGGTGATGCCTACTGCCGCTCCTTAGGGTTCACCCTGCGCTGATCATTGATCACACAACTCCTGTCTTAACTACGAGGAGCAAAGTGATGGAATGTGAGGGACATCGTTCCCCCGGGCAGCAAGCTGCACAGTAATCCTGACACTTTTCCTCCAAGAGCGTAACTCTAACTCAGTAGGTGCTGGCTTCTTGGCTCACGGCCCACAGCCTGGGGACACCTTGGCACAACTGTATCCGCGACAACAAGGTCAGGCTGAGTGGCGCACATCACTGCAGTCTGCGAGCGGGGGAAAGCAGCCAGCGGAAGCGCAGCTCCCCGCCTGACCGGCGGACACAGCTCCTGAGCCCAGCTCAGCCAGCTGCAGCACAGCGAGGACAGTCCATGCCGGGGACCCAAGGCATGAATGGGCATAAAAGCTGCAAGGGCTGCTTAGTAGGCACTCAGCTAACTTTAGGGGACAAATAGGACTCTAAAGAAGCAGAACACGACGCGGGACTGTGGAAGTAGAGAAAGCAGGTTCTCCAAGCACATAGGACTGCAAAGAGTAACATGTGGAGACAGGGCTTGCGCTGCCGTCCGGAGTGCAGTCTTGGGGCATCTGCAGAGCAGACGACCAAGCCCAGCTCCCTGACCTGTGGGCCTATTCCATCAGTGGGGAAGGCCTGGGGTCGGGGCTTTTGATAGCGTGCTAAAAGTCCTAGAGCGGAGAGGAGCTGGAGAGCTTGTCTCCAAGTGCAGCTGCACAGTTTGTGGCGGGACCCAGACAGGCAACAGAAGCTGCTAAGCTCTGTGCAGCGCCCTTTAGGATTTCTTTGGAATTTTCTTAAAGACGCGTACCCAAAGTTGGAGAGGCGGCCGCAGAGAGGTACAATTACCGACGTGTACGTGTGTCCCTGCCCAAACATTCATTAAAGCTTCCATGCCTGCGGTGGAGGAAATCCCCTCCATCTGTGCGACAGGTTTTTCCACTGCCTCTGAGACACCTGCAAAACTGAACGCCTACGCAGTCTGGGCCTTTCAGCGGAGGGGCACAGCGGCCGGCAGCTGGGCGTGAGCGGGCCGAAGGGCTGCGGTGCCCGCAGCCTCCAGCTCCACGCGCTGCTGTGCCACGTGGGTTATAGATGCCAAACAGTGCCATGCATTATGTTACGTGAATGCTGCCGTGTGGCATGATATCACATCTCGTAATCACATTTGTTCGTGAAATACTAGACGCATTAGCTGCTTAGGCTGCAGGGTGAATGCGGTTGCATCATAAACTGCCAAGTATTTGAAAACGAAAGTTCTCACTCAGGCTGTTTCTGAGTTTGTTCCACTTCACCCTTGCAGGCAGGACTATCACAAGGGGAATTTTGCTGTCTTCCACATGATACGCTGCCCCCATGGTGGGGAAGAGGGATGCTGGCTGGGCTGCTTCCATGGCTGCGGGGGGGGGGGGTGATATTTCTCAACTGGAGGGAACACAGCTATGAGAGATGCTGCAGGGTGTGTTCAGGCTGTGAGGTGGATTCTGGGGTTCCCCGTGCGCTCACAGAGCTGCAGCCCCTGTGTGAGGACAGCAGAGAGCGGCCCACTGAAAGTGGGAACTGTGGGGCTGCGAGATAGCTTCGTGGACTAACGTGCCTGCTTAGGCAGGCTTAGGTAAGTGCAGGGACAGTGGCTTGATCCCCTGCACCACATGCTGTGCCAGCCCCAGCCCCAGGGTGAGCTCAGCCAGCCACAGAGTCCAGGGACGGTAGCACATGCCTGTAATTCCAGGGCTGGGGAGGCTTAAAGCAGGAGGACCACGCAAGTCCAAGCTGGGTAGTGAGATCCAAAGCAACCACATACAGCTTTTAAAAAAGGAAATGGGAAATGTTTCTGTCCTGTTCTACAGGCTTCTGTAACTAGAACACCAGCCTTTGTGCCCCTAGTCCCTCTGAGCCTGACTTTGGGGTATCTTATTACGTTTAGCACTGATGGCTTCTCTCAACGAAGCATAATAAAATAGAAATGATCTCAGAAAGCAGGGGAGTTTAGCAAACCAGCAAAAAGGGAGCCCAGATTGTGTGTCATTAAAAGTGATACAGGGGCTGGGGAGAGAGCTCAGTAGAATAAGTGCTTGCCTGGCAAGTGCAGGGTCCTGAGTTCAATCCCCAGAACCGCAAAAAAAAAAAAAAAAAAAAAAAAAAAAAAAAAAAAAAGTGATACAGAAAATACGAAAACATGGGGGAAATCATGTTCCACCCAGAATACACATTTTGCTGGTGTGGATAAAGCCTTAGGCACGTGTGTGACATCTCTGAGCCCTGCATGCATGACCAACATCGCTGAGTGTGTGCTGCATTCTGTTTAGATGCTTTACATAAGCTATTTAATTTTCACAATACCGTTGTGCTGTTAATCTTATTACAAAGCCCAGTTTTCACACAGCAGCATGGGGAACGTCTAAGCCACATGCCCAGAGCCAGCAAACTGCCACGCGGCAGAACCAGGCCTCGGCCCCAACAGCCTGCGCTCCAGAGATGGGGCCTCCAGCTGTTCGAGGAGGACAGGCCTCCTGGCCGGCTGGAAGAGGCTGGCGAGGTCAGGGCAGGGCTGCTCAGGGTGTCCTTGGAGGAGCAAGGTCCAGTTCCCGTACAATCCCGTACCAGAACTGTTCTGGGCAGAAATCGAGTGAGATCTGAGCTCCGCCCCCTGTCACATTCACCAATACTTCTAATGCGCTTTCCCCATCACCGCGTAGGGATGGAATACGGACCGATGCGCCCTGGGAGTGCCGCATTGCTGGGCCACCTTCTCCAGCTGTGTTAGTTGATACATTGTGTCACCCTGGCTGAATCAGCTCCCTCCTTCTCCTGTGGGGGCCGAGCCCTGCAGGTGGGCAGGGCCCAAGAGTTGAGGAGGGCTTCTTGCTGCCCTGCCCGCTTTGGTGGAGAAGTCCCAGTCTTCAGAGGACTTCTCAGCCACCACTTTGGAGAAGTTACAATCTTCGCAGTGGACCACCAGTCTCCTCTCCACAGTTAGCATAGAAAGAAGAGAGAGGCAGTCATGGCTCCTCCTCTGCTCTTCATTGTTTTCTCTCAGTGAACTGCTGTCGTTTTCCCTGGAGGCAGCGGAATATGGACTGAACCCTCCTGTAACTGAGAGCTAAATAAACCTTTCCTTTCTTCATTTAGAGGCAGGTATTTGTCCCGGCAACAAGTAAAATAGTAACTAAGACACCAGCCAAGGAGGGCGTTTAGAAAATGCCATTGAAAAGCTTAAAGATCCAGAGAAACAAAGACCCTGGGTGCCAGGTAAGCAGAGGTGGCCACAAGAGGGACCC